GTTTCCCAAAAAATTCCAGCTTTTTTCCAAAACTGGTGCTGAGAGCATAGGAAGTGAAGAGTTATAGCGTACATGTAAGGCAAAACCGAGAGGGGTGAACATTGAAACATTTTTCTCTATGGCAAGTCTGCACCCCCTCTCCACAGCCATTTTCTCTATCCACAGCCATTTCCTCTAATAACTACGGCTCCCAAACCAGGGCAGGCCATCGTCGTGATAATCACAACGGGAGGGAGGGGGTCGTATTTGGTCTGAGAAATTTTTTTTGATAGTTGATTTCTCTTGTTTCACGGACGCTATGAAGGGGGGGTCGTATTTGCTCGTTGTTGGGGGGGGGTCGTATTTTTCTTAGAGAATTTGCGGTGTTGGGAAAAATTAACCTCCTCCCTCTAGTTGGCGGCACTGCCAAAGATGCATACGACTACAAGTTTCGATATTTGAAAATAGTAGTTGGTTCTTCGTTATAGGGGATAATTTAAGAAATTTTCCCGTTTCACATGGGCCATATCCCCGCTCGACAGCAAAATTTTGAGGAAAAACTAAATTTTCGGGATATTCCGTAAAAAAGTAGGAGGTTGGGAAAATTTAGGAAATGGTAGGCAGGATGGGGAGAGAGGGTGGTATTTTTCAGAAATTTATCCCAACGCGATGGCATGCCCTGTCCCCAGCTGGGTATTATGTGCCTTGTCACCCCTCTTTTTGTGCTAAAGGGTGCAGCAGCGTGTGTTTCGATGCAGTCAACCATTTGTGAGAGAGTAGTAGTATGTCGATTGATGAATAGTGGCTGAATGAAATCGAAAATGGGAAAAGACATTTCCTTTGAATAGAGTTGATCTGCATTTCAGTATCTGTGACTATGTCTGGAGTAACAACGTGCTTACGTTTCCCTGGACAACTGAATGCTGATCTACGTAAACTGGCTGTCAACATGGTGCCGTTCCCTCGCTTGCATTTCTTCATGCCTGGATTTGCACCTCTGTCAGCAAAAGGAGCTCAAGCCTACCGTGCACTTACCGTTTCTGAGCTTACACAACAGGTGAGCTGCTTCGCAGGTCTCTGTTCTGTTACGTGCTTTTCGTCTCAAATGATTCTGTGGTTCAGATGTTCGATGCTAAGAACATGATGGCAGCTTGTGATCCACGACATGGCCGTTATCTCACCGTTGCGGCTATGTTCAGAGGCCGTATGAGCATGCGCGTGAGTTGAACATTACTCATATAGAGGAAGAGGATCTTGTTGCTAAGCACAAGGTGCAAGTAGTTGTGCGCTACGATCAGGAGTCTTTTTTCTTTGCTGGCTGAGCGGGGCCTTTTCAGAGAGATTTCTGCGACCATTGATTTTTCCCGAGGCGGTGGAGGTGTTGAGGCAAGTGGCACGCTTACCACACCCGCAGTCCCGGTGTCGAATCCTGGAACGGCTTCCGTCCACGTCATCCAAGCCTGAGCGTG